GGTGATCCGTCATTGGTGTGAATTTACAGCGCTGAGGAACTGTGGTAGAGTGCTTCTCAACCTCGCGGAACAGAGCAAGGTCCCTCATTTCGTGAATCAGTTTCCGATCTGGTGAACTGATAAGCATTCGTATCCCCATACATTGAATTTTTGAATTCAGATACAATATATTTGGGGCCTCGATTCTGCATTTGACGGACTTCAAAGCCTTATAATTTCGTCTTCCGTTCATGAGCGCTGTGCCGGAATTCACTCTCTAAGCGGTGGTGCAGAGAACTCCAAAACATGAATATGACAAGAACTGTCCAGGTATCAAAAGCTATATGCCAGAGGAATCGATGGTCAAAGATACTGGAGTTGATGGAGCGGTCGTGACAACTACGCCTGGTACTCATTTTGCTCTCGCCGAACTGGCATTGAAAGGTGGAAAGTATGGTATGTCGTCTGCGAGCCTACTCCCTCACATATATATATATATATATGTGTGTGTATGTGTGTGCGTGCGTGTGTATGTGCTAACCCGGCCCCTCTCCTCTCTACTTCATAGTCATCGTTGAGAAGCTGTTTACACCCACGCATCAGGAAGCAGATGAACTGGTGGCGCTATTGAAATGCTTGATCGCATCCGCTTATATCGCCACATATATATCCTTTGGCACATATTAAACTCTGACTTGGATTTCCCATTGCTCGCAGATGGGATGCTGATTTTGCTACAACCTCGAAATTGGTGAAAAATGGTGCTCTTGACCGAGTTGCTGAATTTGAAACTCATTTTGATCGCCATCCCCCTGAGATGCCCACGACTGGTAGTTGGAAAACAAAAAAAAAATTCCTGGAGGTAGGACCGTATACGATAAGGGAACCATGTTATTGATCAAGTTGTCCATTCGTTTGGTCTCCCGAAGAGAACAACTGGCTGTGTTGCTTCCCAGATGGAGAACAATGACTCCGGGTACTAATATGTTCTCACTTTGCTTCTCCACTATGATCAGATTTTAGCTACTACCAGGGGAGCGAAAGCATTTAAGATTCTGGGTTCGAGGGGACAAAGGCAGCTTCAAAAAGACATTGCTTTCCCTTCGGCCTTGCTCAACTGTCGATTGAAAGTACGAACGAAGCTAATCCAGTACCAGTAATGTCTCGACATCCGAGAAGAGCGGCTGAAAGCCGGACTTAGGCATGGAGGCCAAGGTTATGGCGAGGAACGTAATGGCAGATACGGTGAAGAGTCCAAGCTGCGACACTCCCGTGCTTGAGGCCTACCACTCGACTAATATTGTGGCGATTGAGCAAAGTTATACCTACAAAACTAACGGTACGTTGAATACTGAGGCCCAAGGCAATTCCATTGTTGAACTTCCAACATATGATGAGTTCTACCGCAAATTCGCGAAGGCGATGGCCGTTGAAAGGGTCATCCTATTGAGCGCTTGACAGGCAAGCAACATCATACGGCTTGTCAGCTCGCCAGGGAAAGTTTCAAGTTAGGTAAAACATTGAACGTTTGACTTATATTCGGTTGACGTTGCGTGGATTACTGCCTCAGGCCTGTTTGGGTAACGTACGCAGATGCACGAATACGACGGGGATTTAAACTTATCAAGGGAAGCTGGGCAAGATACCTCTTCGTGTTATTCTCGTTTCATTGCGTTACTCTGGGTAGACACATTGGTAAAATAAACTTTTTTTCGCTCCCGAATGACAGCGATCACAAATTTGGGCTCAAACTTAATGTGCTTTCGCAAAAGCGTTTACAAGTCCCGGAGCCAATGTCGTTTGATATACGAATCATGGAATGTGACATGTCAATACCCGATCTGCATCTCCCATTCATTCATCGGTTTACCACATGCATACAAAGTAAGCATTGTTTTGCCTCGACTGGGTGGCGGGAGTGATCATAGCACCACATTTTCTCAGGATACAGCCTCGAAGTGATCCATCCGTGGTCGCTCGCAGTCGCTCGATTAACTCCTACATATGCTATTAAAGCGTCATCACAAAAAGATGAAGGATAGATCATGGACGCTGCAGCTACATTCCAGCACTATTGGTGAGCCTTGACAATGAAGCTTGAAATCTGCGGCGCATTTTCTTTCTTCTCACCCCTTTTGAGAACAGATCCGTTTAATTGAATATTTGTCCATTTTCCTTTTCCAGCAATTACATTGCGCCAAAAGTTCTCTTGCACGTCTGTTCTCCAGGAAAATAGATTCGAAGCTGCAGCAATGAATAGGGGCATGAAATCGCTACTGCATCCCACGTGGATTCTGGAATAATTTGTTGATATGATTCTCTTCATTGATTCCGCCATTAATGCATGTACGTGGACAGTACAATGTGCCTTCGGGTTGATTCAGTGAAGGACAAACAGCCACGCTCTGGTAAAAAAAAAACTGGTTGGATCTCAGCCTTGTTCCCGAACGCACTCCTCCCATTCGCTTTCCTGCGTTCTGATTTAAACTGGATGGAAATGGAGACCTGATTAGCTGATAGAAAGAGATCTACAGCAACAAAGAATTGTGGCACTCTTTCTTTGCAGGATGTCCCCAGGAGAACACGACTCGGCACACTCCGATCTAGTAGGATGGCGTGACAACGCTTTACACATGAGTCTCATGAGCACTTGCGGAAAATGATTAAATTCCTTGCATTTTTCTTCTCCAAATAATCGCCAAAATGGTGCCTTACACTTTAAGGGAGGAAATATTGCTTTGGGGGGGTGGTATATGAAGATATCATGTCGTTATTAACACTCACAGGCAAATATGGTGCTGGGACAAATCCCTTCTCATCGGAACATTCACCCATGGATGAATGTCGTGCATCTTTGGTTTTGGGTCTATCGGGGTGTCTCACTGGGTTATCCATCCTTGTAGTTGTTTTGCGATGTTATTGTCGTGGCCAGATCGAGAGGCATTATTGGTATGATGACTATGTCATATTTTTTGCCACGGTGAGACTTCCGAACTACTTTCACTCCAACATACTACTATTGTTTGAGTTGGCTCACTAACAGCCTTATCTAGATATGTTCGATTATCGTCCTCGCTTGTTTCATAGGAGAGTCACACAGTGGCTTGGGATGCTATATTTTATTCCTTAGCTCCGAGGACCGCGAATACCTTGCAAAGATAGGATATATCCATGAGATATTTGGACTTCTTGGAATCCACGCGGTCAAAATATCCGTCGGCTTTTTTATACTTCGGACTATAAGCCAAGTCAATATTCGGAATTCAGCTAAAGCAATGATTGGTGAGTATTTAGGGCCTAAAGCATTATTTATCGGAATATATTACCAGCTATTGAGTTTTTCTGAGATGTTAATTAAATCTTATAAAAGCGTTTGTCCTGGCCTTCACGATCCTTACGGTCAGCGTGCTTATTTTCCAATGCGTACCAGCTACTACTCTCTGGGACTCCAGCCTGGAACCTGGTTCTCATTGCCTTTCGCTCAAATCCTACGTGACTATCGGCTTAGTCACCGATTGTATGTATGCTTCGAAGAATCCTGCGATGGTTTTCTGTGCTAATACTACAATAGCCGTTAACGCTGCAGTCGATCTTATTTTATCGACCTTACCGCTCCCTCTTTATTACACTTCTAACTCCAGCAAATATTCCCGAGTTGCATTGATTGGGATTGTTGCTCTTGCATACATGTAAGCCTTATATTGCTGTTTCGGCCTCAGTTGCCACAATCCTCGATATCTAAGGAACTCTAATTTATTGGATGTAGAGCATGCAGCGCCGCCATTACGAAAATCGTTCGTCTAGCCAATTTGCTCGCAATTTCTGATTCGTGGCGGTAAGTTTATACAATGAAAACGTGCATCCCCTATCTCCGGAGAAAAGCATCAGCTGACAGGCTATTAGTGAAAGTGATTACACCCTTTGGACTAGGTATTGCCTGCCTTGCTGCATTGTACCCCAAAACTCCTTGCTACTATTTCTCTTACAAATAACCAAGGGAAAGGTGCAACTGGACTAACTCCCGAATTCTCCTTCCAGTATCGAACTTCAAATTGGGGTCCTAGCCACTTCGCTACCAACTATAAACCCAATTCTCACAGTAATCCTTGCATCTATATATAAAACATTCAGGACTCCTAAATGGCCGACTAGCAGCCCTGACACGCACGACCACATTTCACCCAACCGCCCTATTCGAATGGGCTCACATTCCCTACGAAGACAAAGCCGATCCACCCTCGATGACTACCGTGCGAGTAGCATCACTACCCAGCACTCCGGTCCGGAACAACAGCATATCACTAGATATCCCTCGAGCCATTATAAAGTTGAAGTTAGCGCTTCGAGGAAACCTAGTTCTCAAAATGATATGAGACGAGATGCTATCCTTGCCGCTGGGCGATCAGGGTTTCCAGCCATTGTGAGAACTACTGATGTATATATACACACGGCGAGTGGGAACAAAGGTGAATATGAGGAAGATGTTGAGAACACAAGTGCAGAAATTCCGCCTGCTAACTGAGAATGGAAGCTGCTTGGTGATTAATTAACAATGTTTGAGAATGGAATGGGGCAGATTTCTGACACAAACATGCAGAGTTTCAGAGTGGGGGTGTAAGTAGCACGAAACCTCTTACAATTACATTGGTTTTTTCTTGTAAAAAATTTAGTATATGCTATCTTTAATGTATGGATTTCCGTTTGAAGATATCTGTATGCGCGTAAATATCCATGCTTTATATACCATTGTTTTGCAATTTGACCTAGCTTTGTTGTCCTGTGGATTGGAATTTATAACGCTTTCGCATCGAACTGTCCATGAAGTTATAATGCTTTCCCAATAACCAGTGGTTTAGGGCCGTTTAGATGATGAATTGACACAAAGAGAACGGCATATCAGTAAATTAGACATCTCTTGTAAATGAAATACTAGTGTGTAAATCATTCCACATCTCAGACTTTACCAGCTGGCCGGGGCCAAATCCAGACAGCAGCTGGGATCGTCTAGCAGGAATCGCGATTGATGTTTTAACTAAAAGGTCCTATTTCAACATCCACCACGGAGACTAAGCTCACCATCTAACAGTAAGATGTTAAAATAGACCTTTATTCGCAATTGCATTAGCAATGCATCCATTGGATACGTTATTTCCTTTTGATCACTGCTTCAGAATTTTTTTGTTTTGTTGATTGTGTTTTCTCAATACTGTACTGGGTATGAGACTTGACAATATACACAACTGGTTGTCTATTATTCATGGATCAAGTGGCATAACACAACCAGACCGCCCACGAGTCTTGCGATCCCTCAATGACTTCCTCGTTATGGCCAGAAAAGTTGCTTGTTCATCGAAGAACGTTGGTTGAATTTCGCGAGCAGGCAAAGTTGTAACTCGTACAGATTTCCACACTAACCTCAAAGGTCGACCCTTAATTACTCCTCATTAACCCGTAATTGATGCGCAGTAGGGTCGGGGTTCCGCAGCAACAAGCAGATATATAGAGCAAACATTTTACTAGCTGCCGTCACCGCAACCTGCACGAACACCCACACCACAAGCTCGGCAACCGTTACTGCCATTATCGACGTGAATATGAGGGTTCCAGCCACGTAATATACTCCCCAGGCAAGTTGGACGGGCCAAACTTCGTCTGCACCTTGCACCGCAGAAACGCTACCAGTCGACATAGGATCAAAGTCGCCCTTTTCTCCTCCTCTCCTCTTCGCGAACACGGCGTGTACAAACGCTGGTAAAATACCAATTATGCACCAAGTAACCGCAAACACAGGGTATACGCAGCCTAGAGAGCTACGCTTGGAAAATATTTCTACAACTGCCAGCATCCCATATGCTGTCAAGAGAAGCAGAAAGCTCGCGCCCACGCGCACGGTCGTCCAGATGCTCGAGAGCACCCCAACATTGGCGAACATCAACCCATTCAGCCAGTGCAGATATCTCTGTACTTGAGCACCGTCAAGTTCACCTACGACAGTCGGCTCGAGTCCCAGAGCTCTAACAACGACAGCAGCCGCAAACGGTAAAGGCGCGGATACGAGCGCAATTCGTCTCTCAGGCCACGCGACGTCCTTGAGAGTCAATGGGATTAAACCCATGATTAACGCGGTGGCGCCGAATTGCTGCTTGCGCGCCTCGTCGGCGGATTCAAGGGCGCAGATTGATGTCATCCAGCAGCGTTGGTTGCTGCCGCTATAGAAATAGAACCATGGTTTGAATGGAGAGTACACGATGGTTTCGGTGGCAGGGCAAGTTCTGCCATCTGTGATTTTGTCGGCCGCAGAGACGGTGAGGGTCAGGAGGAGGAGGATGGAAAGGGGGAGGATTTGGGATCGTTGGCCCATCGCAAATTTGATTATTCACCTTCCCACCCCTCAATATTTCGGCAGCTAGCCCAGAAAAATGGAAGAGTTTCGGATGGTATATTAACAATTTGCGGAGAGATTACAGGCACTGTTTCCCGCAGAAACACAAAAATGCCAGAAATGTCGGAAGCTGGGGATGCTCAACGGCTCTGCACCACGACGAGCCTCCCTTCAAAGAGAAAACTGAGGGCGCCTGTTACCCAATAGGATAGGATAGGTTAGTCTGTCTGCGTAGCTGTATTTTTAGAAAAACAAACAACTGGTTCTCATGGGGTATCGATCAATCATTCTATGCCTTGGCCCCGCTTCTTCCCTATTGAAGGCGCTTGGGGCCAAAAAAAAAAAAAAAAAAAAAAAAAAAAAAAGGGAAAGAAGGAAAGAAAGGAAAGGAAAGGATAAGAGAAAAGGGCATTCGGAGCCTAAAATATTCTGTAGACTGATTCTAGTACGCAAGACCCGAAGCTCTAATTTGCTAGCAGCTTGAGAAGGATCCCTCATCAGCATGTCTTCAAACGATGGGGTTTTGCTTCTGGAATTCTTGAACAGTTTAAGAGCCTGAAGCAGTTTGAATAGATAACTGTTTTCTTTGTTGCCAGAGGCTTCACAACGTCATGATCATCCAACACTGCTCTTGAGTATCGGCATGTGTACATCGGAGCATTTCTGTGGAATGGTCACGTTAACCCGCTGGCTTCAGCCTCATCCTGCGGGATCCCGGGATCCTTGCCAGTGTCTGCTAGTGACTTCGAATACGATTCCGTTGATAGAGTTGGTCGTTTGGCCGAGAGGTTTGCTCCTGCACAAGATGGAGGTTTCTTGCAAGGAAAAAACTCATGTTGTTAAATCACTTGTCATACAGAATCGACGTGTTCTTCATCATCCTTCAAACAACCTCTCAAAAGGATTTCCGAAGATTTGATTGGCTTAATATATGTTGCCTCTGTGTGCCGAATCAGTTCTTCGACTACGCTTAGAAATATCGTTAGTGAGAGAGAATGATTTCGGCTGCCATGAACGAATCGTTTTGACCCATTGAGATAATCGTGAGAAGCATGTGAGCTGGGCGGGGTAAATTGACGAACCTTCCACCTCCATCAAAGCAGAATTAAAATTTTTGTCTGGCCGTAACAATGCTTTCAGCTGTCGAGTCACTCGAGCGATCAGCTTGCCATGATTTTAGGAGAGTTTTATTATCCAAGTGTGCAATCTAGCGAACTATTTAAAAAAAAAAAATAATAATAATAATAAAAATAAAAATAAAATCTAAAAGATGCCATCATGCCCGCATGCATGACATGTGTATGACGCTTTCACCCTAGTGGGTGGTCTGGAGAAAATGTGTGCCTCTATGTAGTGCTGCAATGCAAAAGATATATGGAGCAGATATCGATGTTTCATTGGGGACGGGCTGGACGGAACATTTGAAACCCATCTTCTCATACCCACAGCTGTTGGCAGAATACCAATTAAATTGGCTGGGGATTCCAGTAAAGTTTACGCGCGGGGTCTCGATAGCTTTTGTTCCACAATCTGCTTTGCAAGCGTGATGTCTTACGACGAAATTTCAGATGATAAACATGCTTCTTACAAATACCTCACAACGAGTGACTCCACTTCCAGTATTGATCCATTTGACGTAGTAGAGAAACCTCATGTTACAAGCCTCATGGTTTTAGGTGGAGATGAACATTTGTATCATTATCGCAGCTGTCTAATATCACATCTCGACCCCAAAAGGGTATATGAATGGCACTCGCCCGCTGAGATACGTGAAATATAGCTCATGAGATAAAACACACATTTGGGCAAAATCATGATTCGAGTCAACCATTGCGTAACCCCATTCTTAGCTCTCCTTCAAAAAAGCTTGAATCTGGAAAAAGTTGCACAAGTCTGCACTTCAAAGGAGGTTGTGTCCCCAAGCCCAGATGGGGCCCTTGGAAGTAATTTATATTTTGATGAATCCAGAACCCTGCAAATGAACCGGTTATCCGGGACCGACAGAAGGGGCGATTAATCCGAAGGTTTCTACTATTTTCAAGCAAGATAGGGCAGCATAGTTCCTGTACTTTCGTAGCATATGCAATAACTACCTCCAAAGATTTCAAAAGCATTTCGCAAAGCGACCTCGGGAGGTTGTGATTCCGAACCAACGCCATAGTTAATCTTACTGGTAACTCAATACAGATTGGTGACACATCTTGGAACGGCACTAGCTGCCGGCGAGAATGAAATGGGGCAGAATCACGCCTTCTTCCCTGTATCCAGCAGCCATACTCCGTAGACGCCTTACTGCTTGCGGGCATCCTGATAACCGCGTGCCGAACGAGACGGCTGTAACGCTTCTGATTGGCTGATTTGAAACAAATGCTGAGTTCTCAGCCACCGTTGGGTCTTGGCAGGTACGGTGGTCGCTTCTGTCCAAGATGGCCATGATGATAAGATTTCGAGAGCGCCGACATTTAAAAAATAGATGGGTCTTTTTGCCTAGTATCATGGCCTTTTCCACAGGGTCTACTGTACCTACTGCCGTTGCACCGTGTTATCCGCGGAGAAACCGATTGTCCAACCAGGCGGAATATAAACTCCCGCTGTCGGGCCCGGCGTCCTGTGAGAAGATTTCTTTCGCCCGCTCCAATCCGTGATGTTTTGACTGTTCACCGTCAAACTCGGCATGTCGCAACCGCGAATGCCCAGGCCTGGAACTCTTGACTCAGCTCAAAGGCCTCAGCTCAGGCTTTTTCTGGTCATTTCTTCTCTCATGTTTCCCTCATCGATTCTTATATAGAAACTGCTTGGCTGCTCCCAAAGGGTTTGGTGGTCCGATTCAGGCCTCTTAGGGAATTTCAACTTTCTTTTTTCTTTTCGTTGATTTTTCCTTTATTTTGTTTTAATTTTTTTTTTTTTTTCTTCCCTAAAATTTTTCTCTCCTCTTATCTCATTTTCATCATTCTTCCACGCTTCCATTCATTCTGAGAACTAAATCTGATGCCTGTGCCCAGCCTGTACGATTGTGACCTGGATATTGACAGGCTTCTCAATCGTTATGTTCCCTATCCTCGATGGCATCTTGTGCCCCGCCCCGTGGCCCACTTCTTAGGCCATAGGACAAAACCACCAAGACAACCAGGCAATGTCCTTATCATGCTCTGGTCTGTTGTCGGTGTATTCTCTGGCCTGGCCATCGTTTCTGCAGTAACAAAACATATTCCCATTTTCCAAGAACATGGGCATTATACCATAATTAACAGCTTCGTGAGTCGACAACCCATCCGGATAACATCAAAAACTTTCATTTGTTCACTCCAAGTCCCTTTCCTATAGCCATTGTTTCAGCCAAAAGCTGGTGTCGTCTTAGTTTTGGATTTGATTTGATTCGTTCTCACTTCGGTATCCATAGTGAGTTGTTGACTGGTTTATCAACAGGGTGCTGCCGCCGTGCTTGAATACTGCTCTATTGATTCTCCACTTGCACAACCTCGAAATGCTTTTCTGGGACAAATAATCGCATCGATCATAGGGGTCGGGATCGCAAAATTGTTTGCATTGCATGCGTATGCAGAGTCTTGGTTCTGGCTTGCTGGACCGGTAGCATGTGCAGTTGCTGTTGCGGCCATGATATTCACAAAAACGATACACCCACCCGCCGGAGCCAGTGCGTTGTTGGCATCCATAGACCCGGGAACCAGACGTCTGGGATGGCTGCTGATTCCCCTTGTAATGTTAAGCGCTTCGCTCATCTTAGTCACAGCCCTGCTGCTTAACAACATCCAGAGACAATTCCCCTTGTACTGGTGGACGCCGGAAAGCCTTCGACCAGTGGAGAGGACGGAGAAAGATCTGGAAATGACATCCTCCGATGACGACGAGCGTACACCCACAGGGAGCGTGATAATAACGAGACAGTTTCCAAAACAGGACCAGATGATAATGATACGGGGTGGGCAGGTGATAATATCGGATGACCTTTTCCTTTCGCCTGAAGAAATTCAATGTTTAGATCGGTTGAGCAAACGGATATAGATGGAGAAAACAAATACAGCTAGAGCTTTCCTTTTAACAAAAAACCTATATAGAATAATAAATGTAATGATTTACGACCTTCATATTCTGGCGACCACCGCGGGGTTATCTAGGTATCTCTGACACCGCAAATAATCCAAACTCAGTCATTAGCGTAGTGAATTCAATTCTTGAGAGATAGGAAATTCATACCTACTATCCTTGGATCAAGATCAGAATGGTTGCCTGCAACTCTCAATGCCTACAACACGGTGCCACTCGAGGCCAAGGCTATGTTTTCCCCACCTCTGCATTTTCATTGTGGATCCTGGATGGGCTACAGTACCCTTCTTCGATAAACTACCTCAGCTATAGATGCCTCACGTTGTGGTTTGATTTTGCGCCATCCACCACGGCCCCTCAAAGGTGGAATAATTGACGTCAAGCTCCGGCTCCACGTGATGGGCCGTGGCGTCTTACTCAGCCCCGTCAAACTCCACTTCAACCTTGACAAAAATTTATCAACTTCAATGTCAATCAACATCATCAGTCCAACTCTCTACTTTTCTTTTAACGAGTTTCCTACCCGGTGGCCAGAAACTCTAGGCCACCTCCTCCTGTTTACCAAAAGTCGTCTATGTTTGATTTTGTGTTAAAAACTAGATTTTTCTGGGCCCTTGTTCATCCCACTATCAGGTCCTGTTTCTATCGATAAGGCCAAGACCACGCTATGTGTGCAATTCCCCTCCCAATATTTTTCCGCTACTTCGTTTTTGATATTTTCTGTCTTTTCCCAATATCGACATAGATTGTCGTATTTAAAAGAAATTTTCGTCCCGTTCCGTCGAGAATAGTTAAGCATATTCGCTAACGATACTGTCAGCTTTTTTTCTTTTCTTTTTTAAAAGAAAAATCTGGAATTATTAATACTTTGATTATAATTCAAGTACCACGCGAAGAGGAGGCAGGAAATCACAACAATGGTATCAGCGTCGAAGGCTGCACGTCAGGCCAAGCGTGCTGCGGAGGGAAAAGATGACAAAAAGAAGTCCGCCACATCGAGACTGTCGTCTAAAGTCAACTCAAAAAACGCCTCTGAAGCCTCATCGGTGAATGGGGAAGAAGAATATGTCCCCGAAGAGTCGGCAACCTCCGCAGCCAAGCTATCCGATGTCAAGAAGTTGACTTCTCAGGTAGACAAATTTGGCTTGTCGGATCGTGTGACGACTGGTGTCCTTGCATCCCTTCCCTCCAGCCGTGATGTCAAGATCAACTCCGCGTCCCTCGTGTTCCACGGCAGGGTGCTCATTACCGATACAATCCTCGAGCTTACTTATGGCCGACGATACGGCCTCTTGGGTGAAAACGGTTGCGGAAAGTCGACATTGATGAAGGCCATTGATAAGCGCGAGTTTCCTATTCCCGAACACATCGACATTTATCTATTGAATGAAGGTGCGCCTCCAAGTGATCTGGGAGCTCTTGAGTGGGTTGTCAGGGAGGCAGAGAACGAAATGAACAGGTTGGATAAATTAGCAGAGGAGATTTTGGAAAAAGAGGGACCGGAGAATCCTATCCTTGAGGACCTGTATGAGGTGTGTAATTTCGACATCACCATATACCGTCTATTTCGTTTTTCTGAGTGTGAGTGCGAATACTAACTTCTCCACTTCAGCGTATGGAAACTATGGACCCTTCAACTTTCCACACGAGAGCATCCCTTATTTTAACTGGTCTGGGGTTTAATAAAAATACCATTAAAAAGAAGACAAAGGATATGTCCGGTGGATGGAGAATGCGTGTGGCTTTGGCCAAGGCTCTTTTCGTCAAACCATCTCTACTCCTTCTCGATGACCCCACAGCCCATTTGGATCTCGAAGCTTGTGTGTGGTTGGAAGAGTACCTGAAGAAATGGGATCGCACTCTCGTCCTTGTTTCCCACAGCATGGACTTCTTGAACGGAGTTTGCACCAACATGATTGACATGCGGCAAAACAAGCTCATCTACTACGGTGGTAACTACGATGTTTACCACAAGGTTCGCCATGACCAGGAAGTCAATCAGATGAAGGCCTATCACAAGCAGCAAGAAGAAATCGCCCACATCAAGAAATTCATCGCATCCGCTGGTACATATGCTAATCTTGTCCGACAAGCTAAATCCCGCCAGAAGATCCTCGACAAAATGGAGGCAGACGGTTTTATCCAACCTGTCGTCCCAGACAAGATCTTCACATTCCGTTTCGCAGATGTCGAGAAGCTTCCGCCCCCAGTTCTCTCATTTGATGACGTCACATTCTCCTATAGCGGAAAGCCAGAAGACAACCTCTACGAGAACCTCGACTTTGGTGTGGATATGGACTCCAGAACCGCCCTTGTCGGACCAAATGGCGTTGGAAAATCAACCCTACTCCGCATCATGACAGGCAAACTCAGCCCCACCGGCGGCAGAGTCTCACGGCACACCCACTTGAAGCTTGGAATGTACAGCCAGCACTCCGCAGAGCAGCTCGACCTCAGCAAATCCGCTCTCGAATTCGTCCGTGACAGATACCCGGAGAAGAGTCAAGATTACCAATACTGGCGCCAACAGCTGGGCCGATACGGATTGAGTGGTGAAGCACAAACAGCCCTCATGGGTACTCTCTCAGAGGGCCAGAAGAGTAGAATCGTCTTCGCACTGCTCGCAATTGAGGGGCCGAACATGTTGCTTCTGGACGAACCCACAAACGGTCTCGATATACCTACCATTGATAGTCTAGCTGACGCTATCAACGCATTTAGCGGCGGTGTTATAGTTGTTTCTCACGATTTCAGGTTCGTAATTTTTTATGATTGTTTTTCCTCACCTTCAACCCTCTCGAGTCGGAACCCCCACTAATAATATTTCCCGAACCATAGACTCCTGGACAAAATAGCGAAGGACATCATGGTCTGCGAGAATAAGACAGTTCATCGATGGGACGGTTCTATCGGAGAGTACAAGAACTACCTACGAAAAAAGATGTTGTCGGCCGGACAAGTTTAGATAGATTTCTTTTCCTATTTAAGTTGGGATTTGTCTCTTTCATAGCTGGTGGTTATCATCTATCACTTACTGGCTCTGGCTTTTAGCATTTACAAAACGACCCTGTTATTATTTGCGGAATATTGGCCAAGCATCACATGGGAAAAGGGGCTCAATTGTTTTTCCTTCTTAAAACTACATTGAGCCAAAGGAAAATCCACGGTACTCTTTGTTTCAAGTTAATTTTGCCAGCTTTCTTGCTGTATATGTTCCAGCACCACCACCACACTGGGCATACTTTGTTTTCATCCTTTCTTTCCCTCTTACCCTTCTGTTTATTCTATAAACGAAGAAGAAAAAAACAACACAATATTTCAAGAGGAATAAAAAAACAAATATATTCGTACTTCGTTTTACTCATGCCTAGTTACTGCTATTCTGACCCACGTATTTGTGAATGATTACAGTAAACAGGAACTCACCAAACTACTACCATGTGCTGTACAAACTGTTTACACAAGTATATCAGAATCCAAGCCAGCCAGCCGGCCCCAGGGCTTACATAGATAAGGCAACGGAGGTAGTTAATTAATTATTTAAAACAGGTAGCTATCAGGGAGCATTTCATCATAACTATATTATTATCCCCGGGAGGCCCGCATACGAACAAAAGGCAAAATCTTGAAATAAATCCCCCTCTACAATTTCTTTTCAATTTAATTGCGGCAGCACCCTGCTTTTATTTACCCTGCCCTTTATTTTAATTTTCCGCCCCAGCAAATATATAAGAAATCAAAGGGGTCTCATCGTCATAGGAGGAAATGTGTATATTCTGGTAAATTTGATCGTAGCATCTAACACATACAAGATGAATTTGACTTGACTATCTTGACCTTTTGAAACGCACACCAGCTGCTTTCGACTACACATGTGTTGTACCTCTCTCGGTTGATGTTGTTTACATCGTACGGAAGAGTCGGGACAACCCTACTGAGAGCCGGAATGGGGCGCATGAATATCATATGCGGATCCCGAAATAGGTGCGTAGCAGGTATCGAAGTCTGGATCCGTTCCTAATGAGCTGTAATTTTCCACCCCGGGGATAGTTGTATTCAAGAATTTGTGGAAGGGGTCCAAAAAGCATTCATTCCACCAGGGCCAACAATACCAGTACCGCCATCTCTGCGGGCGCTAATCCCGATTACCCCCGCTCCAGGTAGTAACGCATTGCTTCAATCCGTTTCCGCCTTTTTCTTCCTATGTTCCACCAAATCTCCCCCGAAAAGCCTCGCCCCTTCCTGCTGAAATCTCTCCCTCTCCAGCTTCCGCTTCTTCGCCGCTCGCTGCAGTTCCGCTTCATCATCATCACCTGCAGCACCAGCGCCAGCGCCAACTTCAGCTGCGGCAGCAGGTGTCCCTGTCCCAGTCCCAGTTCCTTTCACGGCAGCAGCAGAGGAACCCTCACGCTTCGCGGCGCGGTTTAAATTTCGCAAGTCAATCTTCTCCGGATTCTGGCAGTGGTATAGTTTTCTGCCGATGCGTTTGAGGTTTTTCATAGTGGCGGGTGCGGTTGATGGCATATGGTTCGTCTGGTAGGTGGAGAGGATCGTGGAGCAGGAATTGAGGATGAGGGAGAGTTTGGTGCGGAGGACTGAGAAGACGTCTTTTGAGGGCTGTGATTGTGATTGCGATTGTGATTGTGAGGTGGTGGACGGTAATGGGATGAGTTTTGTGTCGATGTAGAATTCCGCGATCGGCCTATCGGCCAGGAGGAAAGCGGAGAGCCATATTTGAGATGGTGTGTAGAGAAAATATACATCCGTCAATTGTGCTGCGGACCGGAGGATTTCGCGAGTGTTATGATGTGCCTTGGCGATGCGGGAGGTAATGGACCCACTACCACCTGGTTTCTTCTGGTCTGGATATTCCGCCGCCGCCAGGGTAAGAGGAGGCGGCGGCGGAAGCGATTGGATTGCCTGTTGCAGACCGGCTGCTGTTTGCTCAGGGTGGTGTGGGCCCGGAGCGCCATCCCCTCGCGCAATGGCGTTTAGTTCCATGATTCCACCTTCTAAGCTGCGGAACGGGTGGCGGACGTCAAAGGTAAAGCGAAGTCCCTGTGTAAGGAGAAATTCGGGCGCGATGATATCCTCCGGCGTAGCGTTTGGGATGTGTTCTGCAAATGAGCGTAGGGACATGTAGTAGTTTTCTGTCTTTGTAGCGAGGAAGAGAGCGCAGGGCATAATGGACTTGGGGTGATAGGTCATGGGGGAGTTGGTAAGGTAGAAGCGGCGGAGGTATTGGATCGCAGTAGCCTTTCATACGCAACTCATTAACAGCTAATTCATGGCCAAAAGAAATATCGCGCTTCCTGAGTAGGCTTCTCCCCAATCCATCGAGTTGTTGAAACAGTGATAACACAACTATATCATTTGTAAAACATAACATACCCTAACAACCGTCGGCAACGGCGGCTTATACTCATCGCCCAACTCCATCGTCTTCTCGCAATAATACCTCACCAACTCCAGCTCCTCCTCCACCGTCAAGCATTCAATCTCCTTATCCTTCTCCTTCTCTGTTGTCTGCTCACCACTGCCTATCGTCGCCTCTGCAGTTTTTCCATCATCAGCATCACCGGTCGCGTTTGGGGTACCGCTACTGGATCTAGCACCTGTGGCTGCGGGCTGCTGCGATCGCGCATCATTTTTAGCACGCCGTATCGCATCTTTAACACGTTCGCTGGCAACGGTATTGGAATTGGCCCGTATTAAGCAGAGGGATTCTTTGGTGAAGGACCAGAGGCGATACTGCGATGATGTTCGGTAGATCTCGTCTTCGAGCATGGTAGTGGGAAGGAGGGGAGACGCGGTTTTGGTGGTTGTTTTATTTCATGACAATGCTTCTAGCATGATTGATATATAACATGCAGAAAAATCGGCTTTGGGCTTTGATGGAGGTAGTTATTGGTATACCTTTTTTTGGTGGGAAAGTGAGGTTGAGAGCTTCAAATTTGAGGTTACCGATCCATGGCTGATGTCACTGCCCTGAACTAACTCAAAAGAAACTTAGTTGTGAGTACCAACGCCAGAGCATGCCTACAACCGGATAATGCTTACGAACGTGGTTTTATTGAAAAAATATATACCCCTGACCAAAAGTACTCATTTCACCAATTAATTAATTAATCGAAAAATCGAAATCAAATCAGCTCAAACCAATAAACACAAAGAAGTGAACGTAAGTAATAACAAAAATTTCCACAATAGGGAGATGCGAGAGACTCTTTCAGTTTCCTTGCTCCAAACAAACAATAACATGAAGAAAAGAAAAGAGGCCATAGGAAAATAGACTTTGAGAGGAAAAAAAGAAAAGTTAGAAGCAAAGGGAAACAGATCATTCGCCAGGCACCATACGCTTCCCCCCTCCTCCATCAATATGCTCCAGGATGTGTCATATTTAAAATATGATTTGGAGGAGAGGGATGTAATAACAAGAGGCAATAATAGTCGAAAGGAAATAACAAAACAACAGGAAAATTGGCGGAAGTCAGTAATAAAAAAACATGCGTAGAACGGAGGGCTCTCAAGAACACCAATCAAGAAAAAGCAAGCAAAAAAAAAAAAAAAAAAAAAAAAAAAAAAAAAAAAAAGAGATTTAAACATAGGAACTTGAGGGCTGTGTGGAACGGATTGCTCTCCCCTCCCAAAAAAAAGAGATTTCCCCACATAGATTTTCAAATGCAACATGCAAAATAACAAGGTTGGGTGTGTATTTGTGTTAAGAAGAAAAAGAGGTAAAATAATAAGAGCATCCCTTCATGGCTCCCCAAGCAAACGTGCGGTAACATCACCCATATATGCTTCTTCCAATTCGTAATCCTCGCCGTCCATCCGATCAATGCCAACATACTTGAAAGCCGATACTACTCGTGACACGTCGAATCCCATATGACAGAATCGATCGACGAGGTCCTTGTTGTAGCCGTCGTACCTGTAGTTAATGTGGTTAATACATAAAATCCTTTGGCGGAGAGCTTAAAAGAAAGAAATATAAAATAAATAGGTAGAAGCTTGCTAGAAAAAGAAATGAAGGGAGTAAGAGATCGGAAAGGGGCGCCCATACGCAGCCAATTGCTCTTTTTCCTCCTCTTCCTTCGACTTCAGTTGCTGTTTACGGATGGATTCATCAGTGGCGCCGCCGCTACTTTCGCCCAGTTGCCGTTTGGGGGCGCCTGCATGCTGAACAGCCCACTGTCGGGCAACCCGCTCGAACTCCTTCGGGTTTCGCATGAGCATGTTGGCCACCTCCGCATCTTGAGGGTCTTTAGGTTCGGGTGTGCTGAGGAGGGACTGGAGGGAGAGCAGAGCAGACTTGATGGTCAGGACGGGAGACCAGGCGGTAGAGAGAGTGTCGAGGCAAATGGCACCCTATGACATGACATGACCATGAAAATATGCCTTAGCACAAAAATCCTTACTATTTCTCCAACGTGAGGGTTTTGAAGGTGCGTACGGTTCCCTCCGGGGTATGTTGCACTCATGACTCACAGTTTGACTACTGATATTCGGATGCCAGACTTTGGTTATAAATTTCATCACAGGCGGGCGGAAAGGGTATTCGGAGGGTATCTTGATATCAACATAATAGGTTCCTTCCTCGTAGGGAGTTCCGGGGGGCCCTCGAAAGGAGCCTCTCAAATGTGTCAAATCATCTCCGCCCCCAACCGGATCAGCCAAGATTTGCGAGTGCTGGTCTGCATGGATATCTGCGAGCTCCTTGGCGATACGGCGGGTACGGTTCGATGTCATGGTGAAATGAGAGGGATATCTGGTTCTTTCAAAAAAAGGGTTTTTTTTTAAAAAAATTTTCTTTTGGTGTATTTGTGGTGGTTCTTTAAGATCCTTTCGTGTTTTGGAGCAGTTCGGTGTTCTAGAGGATGCTTATGGGTTGGTCGAGAACCCTAAAACGCTGTGACCAAGGGCAAGAGAGACGGGCTGATTGACTTCCTCTGGATAAATAACTTGGAAGCCCCGGGGTATCAGTTATCAAAAGCATATAAGTAAATCAATGAAAACCGAGATAGGGGTGTAGGTTCAAAGGAGTGTGAAGTTTAGAAGAGCTGATAGGGGCCGAGACTTTCAGGTAGTCAAGGAAGCGACGTGCGGGGATATATATATAAATTTATACGGTCTTCATTTGGTGGCTAGAAGAGAGCTAACCAGACATACCAGGTTTTCAGTAACTAACATATAAGCGGAACTAACGCATAAGCGGCTTGGTTGGAGGGCCAATGCGAAAGAGAGGTTCGGAACAGCAACTCGGGGTGATATCAAATAAGAAGAACTGGAAGCTCACTCAAAGCCAGGAGTAAAGTGAGTCAGGGATCCACCTGGGCTGGGAGGAGCGAAGTGAAGCGAGGCGATGCGATGACAGGGGAGGCGGGACTTGTAGACACAAAGAAGGGGAATGCTGGAGCGCAGAGATGCCAGACTGAGTTGGATGCTTTTAGGATAGACGCTTGAGAGAAGAAGGTGGCGAGGATGGCCAAACTGAGAGGAGTCGTTGAAAGTTCGAAGAAGAAGAAGAAGAAGAAGAGGAGGAGGAAGAAGAATGGGAAGAAGAAGAGGCAGAAGTGGTTTGGGGTAAGAATGCCGGGCGTTGGCTTTTCGTGGTGACAGGCAGCGGCTCATAAGGCTAGTTCACGATTGGCTTTTGTCGGCCCAACACCCGATTACATGACCCGTATTGCTTGTATTGCTGGGCAAGGGTGCAGCCATACAGACATCATTCTTTAATTAGAAAGCCCATCATCATCTAGTAGCTATGGCTTGAATCAGAGGAAATATATACAATAATACCCACCACCACCACCATCACCACAACAGAAAGACCTCCGTTCATGAGACGCAACACGCTGGGCAGCTACACATAGGATGAAATGACAGCCTTCGTTGTCGATCGATTGGATGCCACGGAAGATGGTTCTTGACCATCTTTTGGGAGCGGGAGGGAAACTAGACCGTTGATGCCTTGCCGTGGAAGAATGATAGGGCAGAGGGCCTGATCGGCATTGACTGGCTGCTGCACTACTGCGTATGCAGTAGATTGATCTGATTACACGGTAAATATAGTTGTTCTTTACCTGGAAGTATCCATCATCTGGTACGGACTCGTGAAAGCAGACATGGAGCTGGACATGGCTGTTGAGAGATACGTAAGATACATAGATATGTCACACACTGCATCGCATTCCACGCCATTCCATCGCCTCTGTATGTACAGAATACTCCGTAAGAGTATCAAGTATCACCGGACGGACACCAAAGTTATCCGTCCTGACGTGGTTGGGAGCGTCTGTGCGTCTCGGCTGCAGGGCCCAGACCCAAACAGGCAATGTCCACCTGCAAGATCCAAGGATCACATGATCGATATTGCTTGGCACCCGCATGGATGCTGGACGCTGACTAAACTAGCTAGCTTTGCCAGCTCCCAAGGAAACCGAACCTCAAGAAATACAACTGCGCTCAAACAACCCCTAATTCCTTCTCCTGCCTCCCTCCTCCTTATCCGTATTCAGGTGCTTGTCCATACTGCCTGTACCTCGAGGGATACGTCTTCACGAATTCAGCCTGCTTTTTCCCCGTTTCTCCGTTCATCGTCCTCTCTTCAACCCAGAAGGGAGAAAGAATCTACTCCTTGCCGCGTTCTAACCTCTCCAACCTAAGCTTACCACAATGGTCTGTTGGCTAGTCTCGTCATTTCATAGCTTCAGCCAATCTGGATTTTCCAGTACTCTTGATACTGACGTGGGGATTTCTGCAGGGAAATCAACAATCAAATATGGGCGGTGGTGGTCCGGGTGATGGCCAGGATGAGAAGGACAAGAAGGTACAGTTTTCTCTCGCATACCCGCAACAGAAGCAACCTCCCATTCTCCCACTTTCTCATTTGCCTACTACTTCCTCCGCAGTGATCTACTTATACTAACTGCTACCGCCGGAATAGAAGGAAAAGCCAAAGTATGAACCTCCTCCACAGCCCACCACCAGAATCGGCCGGAGGAAGCGTAAGCAGGCCGGCCCTAACGCTTCAGCAAAACTCCCTGCCATCTACCCAACTTCCCGCTGCAAACTGAAATACCTCCGCATGCAACGCATCCACGACCATCTACTACTCGAAGAGGAATATGTCGAGAACCAGGAGCGCATTCGCAAGACAAAGGTTCATTCATCCTTATCTCCCTCAACCAGTGATGATTTCGAGACCACGGATCGAAATGCAGACGAGCGAAGTCGCGTCGATGACATGCGCGGAAGCCCCATGGGTGTAGGTAATCTGGAAGAGATGATCGATGATGACCACGCTATCGTCTCTACCGCGACGGGGCCCGAGTATTACGTCTCGATCATGTCCTTTGTCGACAAGGACCTCCTGGAACCGGGTGCGAGCATCCTGCTGCATCACAAGTCCGTCTCCGTCGTCGGCGTTTTAACCGATGACGCGGACCCGTTGGTCTCCGTCATGAAACTGGACAAGGCACCCACGGAATCCTATGCAGATATTGGCGGGCTGGAGTCGCAGATCCAGGAAGTTCGAGAAGCGGTCGAACTGCCTCTTCTCCATCCAGAACTCTACGAAGAAATGGGCATTAAACCGCCCAAGGGCGTCATTCTCTACGGAGGTCCGGGAACGGGGAAGACACTACTAGCCAAAGCCGTCGCCAACCAGACAAGCGCCACATTCCTAAGAATCGTCGGCAGTGAGTTGATACAGAAATACTTGGGTGACGGGCCTCGATTAGTCCGCCAGATTTTCCAGGTGGCTGCCGAACATGCCCCGTCCATCGTCTTCATCGATGAAATCGATGCAATAGGAACAAAGCGATATGAGTCTACGTCAGGCGGCGAGCGGGAGGTGCAACGGACCATGTTGGAGCTACTCAATCAGCTTGACGGCTTCGACGATCGTGGCGACGTCAAGGTGATCATGGCCACGAATAAGATTGAATCTCTCGACCCCGCCCTGATCCGCCCAGGCCGTATCGATCGAAAGATCTTGTTTGAGAATCCGGATCGTAAGTTCTTTTCTTTCTCTATCCCCCCCCATTTTTATAGTGCCCTCTCCGGCCAACCGTATGTTTCACTAACCCAATCCCACCAACTCCCCCTCTCACGCATACAGAAAACACCAAGAAAAAAATATTCACCTTGCACACCTCTAAAATGTCACTGGGGCGATGACGTGGATCTGGACGAGTTCATCAATCAAAAGGACGACCTTTCCGGCGCGGATATTAATGTCATTATGCTCCGAGGCAGGTTCTAATGGCGCTGCTCGAGCGACGGATGCTTGTGCAGATGGCTGATTTTCCGCACAGCGAGGAACGGGTCTGAAGACAAAGAGCGAGGGCGAAACCGGAGGGGTTGTATCTGTAGTTGACTTGGTTAGGCTAATATGTTTGAGGCGTGGATGGACCCATCCCGTCTTTTTTTTATCCGTCATTATTCCCTGACATCTTCCAATGTCTATTACTACAGACAAACCAAGAGATGGTATGATATTGGTGTGATTATGGCGGGGAGGGGAATGGGGATGAAAATGGTTTTAGATATTTAAATGCATAAATACTTGGGATTTCCCCCATTTTACCCGGTTTATTCTATCTTCCCCCCCCCCCTTTTTCCCCCCTAGAAAGGGCTGCTTGACTGCATGTCCTTTGTCTTCATATGTTGCTATGAGCATACCTCGACTGAAGGAGACCTTAGAGTAAGCCACAAAGGAAAATAAAGCCCTTCGAGGCAGTATTTTGTCTTCTTTTTCCCTTTACAACAGAAATTTATATGAGAATGCCCAATTTTCTTTAACTATATATCGAAAAGAAAAAGAAATCGCAATCCCGAGAATGCGATATATGGTGAGAGAGGTTTTGAGAATGTTTCTTCATGCACTTGAAGAATGGCAAGTATCTATATATTTTATCCCGTTGGAGCTTTCCAGATATCCATGCATGATGTGGATGTGATAGTTACTGGGCAAAGCGCCCTGGCTAGAATGGAGGCAAAATGGTATTCAGGGATAATACGGAAGTTTGCCTCCCATGAACAAATCTTCATGCATGCATATACATAGATGAGCAACAGTCAGAACTAGTTGTGAGACTACAATATGCGCAGTTTCGATAGTAAAGCAATCGGGGTCGTGGGTGCCACCCACACAACTAGTTAGAGGACGGAGATGTGACATAGACACTGAACTGATGGCATCCATTCAGACCTTCAAATTCAAGATTGATCTTGAATTAGGGGAATCATGGCGCAGCTCGGGTAATCAGACTTGTGCCAAAGGGTGCAAGAGATCTCAGTCTCACCAGAAGGTGAATCTACAGTTTGGATTTTGACGGCAACAGAGGCATTTTTAAATCACTGATCGCGCGTGATCCAGGTCGTGTACAGCTTCATATACCGGGCCTGAAAACATATTCCCAATGCATATCGTGTGGTAGCCGCCGGGCTGATATCTTTCCCGCGCATCCACATCCTTGATAATCCATGCCCATACTTGGCGGATGGGGCGCGTTGAACCGAGCACATAGCTGTATTGAGCATTCAAAACTGCCTAGGAAAATATCAGTATAAGGCGGCTTCGAAGTGTGGATGACTGGGGGTCTCCTTTGATATAACGACATGGAAGAAATGTGCGGTCTCATTCTGCGGAACTCTGTTGCAACACCTTATACAGAAGGGGAGGATATGCAAAACCCTGCATTCTTCAAGCGCGCGACTCGATCTCCAAAATAGCAGTCGTCCGCGTTTAATTTAACTGGATCTCCGATATTTTTCGGCCCTTGGGGCAGGTATTTTCGGGCTAGCAACTCATGTTTGAAGCTACTGTCTGACTGGTGATATGAAACATCCCATGGAGAGTTGACGATGTTCTCATCCCACAATGTCACAACAACAATTCATCAATCACAGCTCATGAACTGCCTTTTGCTTGGCCCTAGCGGGAACATTGAACTGTTTTCTCATCGCAGACTCAAAATATCAAGAGAGGTTTTGAATATGCGTGACATGCGTAAATGTGAAAGAGAATTGGCCCAGCTGGCTTTCTCAAGCCAGCATTTCTTCTTACGCAGGATATCTATCCATTTCAGAAGAAGTGGGGACCAGCGGGAACGAGAAATGTTCCCTCGTTCTTGCGGGTATAAATCAGCAGGCATCTCCAGCAATCCTCAAGCGGATCCCGCTCGTGCGTCTACTTCAAGCTGACAATCCATTTAACAAAGCAGGCCTATGGTTTGCGTTGAATCGGCGACTCCGGGTAAGGTGTCCACTATATGAGCACGAGTAATGCTCATCAGGTACGGCACCCACATCAATTATCCAATCAATGAAAACTTGCTAATGAGGAAGCATATTTGAAGCGGTAGCGGTATCCACGATGACACCGAACGCTCAAGGGCCATTGATTAAAGATCCCAAGGGATTGCACACATCCCTATGTCACCAGGAACAGCTCAGCAATTGGTTTTTAATTAATTAATCCACGAAGCGCTGGGAATATTATATATTATATCCATGGGTAATCGTAGCTTACTATCTGCCTATAAACGAGGTTCTAGGCAGCTTGGTTCGTATTCAAATTCTCAAAATCCGCCGAAGATATTGTATCGTTGCAATTGCCACAGCGGGGTGTCAATATCAAAAGTTCGGTTCTGCTTGAATCGCTCAGTAGGGTTCGAAGTCTAAAAAACCATATCTGCGGGCCTCGGCCCGCTGCATCCTTTCTCTCAGGTCCTCGGGTTTGTTTTGCGGGGCAACCAACCCAGTTCCCCGGTTTATATACAGAATACATCTGTACTGTTTGTTTAAAAGCTAATTGCTCCTCGGCCTGATAGGATGGTGAAGGTGGTGCAGTGTGTCCCAGGAGTTCACAAACGCGAGCAATCCCCACATATGCTTGCCGGCCCCTCGGCTGTTGGATATGATAGGTCCCCCTAGCCTTGCTTTTCCCTCTGGTTTTCGTTCAATTCAATTCAACCATGTTGCGACGAATTTGGCGTAGACGACGCCACAGTCGTGATCGGGCCCCCACACCACACCTCGAAATTTGTATAAACTGTCGGTCTCCGTCTTGATGTTTACGTCGGTTGGTTGTTCCACTTTTTCGTCATAAACTCCACCGGCTTTGTTCCTTCCTTTAAGATTATAGTACTGCTTGCTCTGTCAAACAGTTTCAATTTCGAGTGTTCAGAGCTTCCCGCGAAAATACGCATAGTTTTTATTCTTGTGTTATTAGCGCCTGCGAAGCGTCTACCATTCTTTTATTCTTATTCTTGAAAATCGGATATTTCAAACAAGACAAGAACTTGCGGTTTCCCGCAGCCTTGCAAATATGGAATATTTCAAGCCAGAACAATACGCAAACCTGCCGTCCAATGATATACTCTCGTGGATTTTTGATAATCCGTCGTATGACCAAGACAGACCGGTGAGGGGGCCCCTAAACCTCCGATTTTGCAGTGGCTTCTCTTGTTTGCGTTGAACTGAAAAGACAACTTCAAGTATTGTTCACTTACACGCATATCTTCTAGGTCTACATAGATGCTAAAGACCCTTCTAACTCGATTTCATGCAATCAAGCGAGAAAGATTATCCGCCAGCTTATTGCTGGGCTGAGGGCTGCTGGATTCGAAAAGGGCGATTGCCTCAATATACACTCCTTTAATGATGTGTGTGGCGGCCATCTCCAAATACCTCTCTAACACACTCCAGACAATTCCATTAAAACCAAAAAAAAAAAAAAAAAAAAAAAAGGGGGGGGGGGAATAAAGAACTCAATATGAATACGAAATTGATACTTTTTTATATTACTTTACATTTCCATACTAACAGCTACAACAGATCTATTATTCTATGATCTTTCTCGCCACTATCGGCGCAGGCGGTGTTTTCGCAGGCACTAAATCCCAGGCTAACACGCAATTCGAGCTTACACATCATATCAAGACCGCGAAAGTATCATTCTTGATTTCAGAGCCGGAAATCCTGGACAACCTCGTTGCTGCTGCAAATGACGCCAAGGTCCCAGCGTCGAACATTTGGGTTTTCAATACACAAGGTCGACCCTTGCCGCCTGGCCATAAATCATGGACCGAGCTTCTAAAGCACGGTGAGGCGGATTGGGTTCGTTTCAATGACCCCGAAACCTGCAAGAACACGGCAGCTGCCCGGCTGTTCAGCAGTGGGACAACGGGTCTGCCGAAAGCGGCCAATATTAGCCACCAGAATTTCATCGCACAACATACCGTGGTGGATGAATACAGGACGGCTAAGTATCAGGTACGTTACGTTATTGCCTTGATTGTTTACAACAACGACGGGAAACAAAATTCACTCGTGGAAAGAATATCAGAAAATCGATACGTCTGTATATATAATAAATTAATTAGATTTCCCGTGTCATAGCGCTTCCATGTTTCCATGCCGCGGCTGTGCCATCAACCCACGTCGGCGCTCTTAAGGCCGGCCATACGTTGTATATCATGCGTCGCTTTGAGCTATTGCCATTCCTTGAAGCAGCTGACAAATATAACATTACTGACGTCAGTACTGTTCCCCCCATGGCTGTCGCTATCGTGAAATCACCCTATGCGAATGCCTCGTACTTGAAAAAGACGAGGAACGGCGCTGTGGGCGCTGCGCCGTTGGACAAGGGTGTCCAATCTGCGTTTAGATCTATCATGGGCCCCGGAGCGACTTACACACAGGTCTGGGGCATGACTGAGACGACTTGCATTGCTACCATGTTCTGTTATCCTGAAAATGACGATACCGGGTCTGTGGGGCGGCCCGTGGCATCTCTTGAAATGAAGTGAGTTTTCGACACGTGCCCCCCTATTTTGCACTCTTATTTTACATTAGCTAATAGACATCGACTAGATTAATCAACGACGAGGGCAAAAATATCTCCGCCTACGGCGTGCGTGGCGAAATCTGCGTGCGCGGCCCCACGGTCATCAAAGGCTATTTCGAAAACCCCACCGCGAACGCTCAATCTTTCGACGGCGAATGGTTCAAGACCGGGGACATCGGCTACTGTGACGAGAAGACGAAGAAATGGTACATCATCGACCGGAAGAAAGAACTGATTAAAGTCCGTGGGTTCCAAGTCGCTCCGCCAGAGCTTGAAGCCGTACTGCTTTCGCACCCGTTGATCATGGACGCGGCTGTTATTGGTGTGTCGTTTAAAGGGGGCGAGAAGGAGAAAACTGAACACCCGCGCGCTTATGTCGTGCGTCAGCCTGGCCCAGCCAGTCAGAAGTTGACAGAAAAGGAGCTGCAGGAGTTTGCGGGGGCGAAGCTGGCTAGGTACAAGTATTTGACTGGTGGTGTGAAGTTTGTCAGTTCGATTCCCAAGAATGCGAGTGGGAAGATTTTGAAGAGGCTGCTCCGGGAGGAGGCGAAGAAGGAAATTGAGCAGGGGCTAGTTGCGAAATTGTAATTCTGGCAAAGTCGGGGAGGTTGGTGTTAATTCCCACGTGTGTTCTTCATTACAACTAATACTGAGATGTCAATGTGCCTTCTCTGAATTTCTTTCCCAATAACTGTCGATATTCTCATTTATCAATGGCGTTTGATTGGATCCGGGGTAGAGCGTATGAATTGTGCAAAATGCGTCCCTTGGGAGTCACATAGCCGTATCAGCCTGTTGATTTTTGAAGGTGGAGAGCGAACATCAATGAGCTACTCGCAACAAGCCAAGCGGCCGACTAAACAAATTCACACAAGGACGACGTAGATCCTCAGAGTAACATCTGCGCGCTTTCAGTTCTTC